ATTTCTCCCAGGTTTAGGCTTACGTGGATAACGGAAAATTTTGTTTTAGCGATAGCACATTTTTAATTCAATCTAATATACTTTCCTTGATTGATTATATGACTGCGGTCATAGATCCGGATGTATCTAAATATGCTCAGTAAATACACAGGATTTATTGTTATACTATTAGGATTAATAGATACAATTGAGTATTTATACCCTTGATCATAAAGTTAGTCACTACTTTTATTTTCACATGTTCGATTTGTATGATTTGGGTTATGATTAAATTGACAAAATAAGAAATCATTCCGTGTATATGTGTATTATATATTGTACCCCAATACGTAATTAAATTGTGTATAAATAAGGACACTAAGTTAATTACTGTAATTGATTATTTGATAAATGTATTCACCTTTAGTTGCGTAATATGTCACAGAGGTAAAGCTAGTTCATAACAACTAATAGTCCCATTTATTTGGCTTCTATCTTTTATATGAAACAAATGCTATAATATGGGGTGATAAACTTCATTGGCAATAGACGTAGCATATAATTGTCACCATGAACAGTCTACTCTGTTCCAGGTATGTTTATTCATTTTGTCAGCATTTAAATCGTTGCATTCCTGGCTCAATGATTCATTTGACGAAATCTTGTTCCCTGTTTTGAATTACCGTCAGATAGTTCCAGACCAATTGTAAAATTTCCAGTCCATGTGTTGCGCATAAATCCGAGATAATTCGAAGTTCATATTCTTGTACGAACACTTATCAAAATTCATTTATACCTAGTACTATTATGTACATATGTATATTAGTTCAAATTATAATAATGAGGCCCTCTATTCTCGAAACGGTCTTTGTTCTACGACAACCGTAAGTCGGTATGGGAAAACAAAATATTTGTTTAATTGTTCAAAGTTCATAGTCAATGTCATATGATTATAGGCAAGGAAGATAAGAAATTAAATATATAGAGTAGCCACTTTAAATGACAGAAATTCTTTTATTAGTTAAATTTGCTCATGATTTGGTCTTTTCGTGGTAAATAGTGCCAAAATACTCTTAATTATTTACTTTCATGTCATTACTAATCTCACATAAGGTCAAAAGTTGTACAACGTTTAACAGATATGATTATGACATGTTGTATCCAAACATATCCAAACAAATCCAAGTTTGGAAATATGACCATGACAAATTTTGGAATGGTCATATTTCCATTTGGAATGGTGGTATTTCAAAGTTTTGGATTGTTTGGAATGGATGTTATTTTGTCAAGTGCAGGCGCTACTTCTCCAGAGTTGTTCCTCGTCGTCGTGGGTAATGATCTTCGTCGATGTTATTGCAGACGAACCCAGGCCTCGCGAGACAACTCCCTTACAAGGCTGTCTTGACACCTCCGTCTCTCTTCGAATTTCTCGTCTTCAAAAATATTTATTTAAGCCGGCTTTAATCTCAAACAAGATTGTAAAGCACAAAACAAGCCATGAACAGTATCCACAGTGTACTTTTTCCCCGTCATCCTCCGGGCCTCGAACAAAAAAAATGTAATAGCATTGTTCAAGACTGTTGGCGACATATTCTCTGAACGAGGGCAGAGACGATCTTTCGGCAAACAAAGATTTGTTATACTTCTTTTTTCGACGCTCCGCTTGCCAACTCCACTTGCCAAAAGTACTGAAGGCCCATCTGTTCTCAGAGCGGGTCGTCTTGGGCACCTGGATTTCGCACTTTTCCTCAGTGTCTGTTACACCACGGTTCACTAAATCTTAATTCGAAATCGTCAAGATTGTTCACAATAATCTTCTTTCTCACTGACAAAAGATGACTGCTTAATGAAAATATCATCTTTGTCGCTCCGGTATATTTTGCATCGTGTCCCTTCCAATGCTTCTCCACACTGCATACTTTTCTCAACACCACACCTACTAGTATCCGGGGGCGGTCGGGTAGCCTAGTGGTTAAAGCGTTCGCTCGTTACGCCGAAGACCCGGGTTCGATTCCCGACATGGGTACAATGTGTGAAGCCCATTTCTGGTGTCCTCCGCCGTGATATTGCTGGAATATTGCTAAAAGCGGCGTAAAACCATACTCACTCACTCACTCACTACTAGTATCCGGGTAGTCTCCACGTGGGCACACGGACGTGTTTCGTGTGATCGAAATTTTAGTTTCAACCGTCAAAAACTGAAAAAACAAAACTTGTCGGTTTGTAAGTAGGATAAAGACCTCCCCCTCGGGCTTTCCTTTGTTTGTTTCTTTGTTTGTTTGTATCTCATCGTATCCCAATTGCGTGGGTCGATGCTCATGATATCAATCACTGGATTGTCTGGTCCCGACTCGATTATTAACAGACCGCCGTCATATAGCTGGAATATTGCTGAGTGCGGCGTTACACAACAAACCAAACCTAAAAAAGTAAAAATAAACATCTGACATTTTACCCCACACATAAAACACTGCAGGGAAATTAAAACAGCATAGGGGTGCGCCTCTCATAGTTTACTCTCCTTTTTTTACCTTTTTTCTTTTGTTTCTTGTTTAACGCCGCACTCAGCAATAATCCAGCTATATGACGGCGGTCTGTAAATAATCGAGTCTGGACCAGACAATCCAGAGATTGACATCATGAGCATCGATCCACGCAATTGGGATCGATGACATGCATCAACCAAGTCAGCGAGCCTGACCACCCGATCCCGTTAGTCGCCTTTTACGACTAGCATAGTCACCTTTTACGGCAAGCATGGGTTACTGAAGACCTATTCTACCCCGGAATCTTCACGGGTAGGTTTACTCTCCATGCACTGTTCAATACACAACTGTAAACATTCAGTAATCTCCATGCACTGTTTAATTGCACGATAAACGACTCCCACTCGTCGTTCATTTCTGAAATAATGTGAATGGCAACAGTTGTGTATTAATTGATTTTGACAAGCGACTTAAATACACTTACAACGATATAGTCTTTGTTACATTTCCTTTAAGACTGTAGGGTAATATACAAAGGGACAGCACATGTTACCTCAACGTGTCGACGCCGCTCTGTAGCTCTGTACTTTGATATAAGGTTTGTGCTTTAAAATGAACCCAGTGCTGTAGAATGTTGCGTGAGTTTCTACAAGGCAAACTAATAGACGGACAATTTGACATTCTGAGGTGTGTGTGTTGGTGGGGATGTGGGTGTGGGTGTGGGGGTGGGGGTGGGTGTGTGTGTGTGTGTGTGTGGGGGGGGGGGGGGGGTTGTGTGTGTCGGGGGGGGGGGGGGGGGATATTCCAGATGCAGCTGGAAAACCCGATATTTTTTCATTTAGGACTAGGAGCCAGATTTACTTTTGAGAAAAAACACCTTGCAACAAAGTAATTTGTGTGTCAGCTCTAAAGGTTAAACATAATTCTCTTTTTCAAGCATTTTCATGGACAATTTATGTTTCTCGATGAAGTCCCCGCCCCTTGGACCTTGGCATCATTTGTTTCAGTGTATAGGATAAAAGGATCACAAGGTCCAAGCCCTCTGTTTTTGGCATTCATCGATATTCTCTCCACTTCATTAGTTGTGTTGTATCCACTACGCGGCTGTTTTAACACACCATAATGTACAAAAGATGATATATCAGATGTGAGGACCGCCTCCGTCCGCCCAGAGCGGAAGGTCCAGGGTTCGATACCCAGCCGCGTCATACCAAAAGACGTTAAAAGATCGTACTTGTTGTTATCCTGTCTGGCGCTCGGCATTAAGGGGCTAAAACAAGGACTGGTCCGGTCGTCTCGGAGTCAGTATACTGTGTCTGAGTGGGGTATTCACGTTAAACTGCGGCATGGTATCTCCGTGGGCTAGCACTATAAATCGGCATCAGTCCGGACAAGTGAAAGCATCCATACACACACACACACATACACACACACGTACATGCACGTCGCCATATAAATGCAATATTCTTGGACGCGACGTTGAATCCAATTTCACCTCACCTCACCTTATATCAGATGTACAACTGACAAGTAATTAGCCAACGCCTAGCAGAAAACACTGTACGACGAATTAAATACGTAAAGTACCCTTTATGTTGATCGGTCATTTTTTAAATGTCTAATAATCCGAAATGTACGGTTATGTAGACTGCCTTACAGAGAGTATACACTTGAAAACTGGATTGACCAAGCATTCACGGACGTTACTAGGCTGAAAACACTCCAAACTTAATTCCAAAACACAACTTTGATATCCGTATCAAACACATCACCATCGAATAACCATTTCTCTTTTGTTTCATTTTTATCCACCACCACACATGCATGTAGGTGTAGGGGCTGTCGGGTAGCCTAGTGGTCAAAGCGTTCGCTCGTCACACCGAAAACCCGGGTTCGATTCCCGACATGGGTACAATGTGTGAAGCCCATTTCTGGTGTCCCCCGCAATGATATTGCTGGAATATTGCTAAAAGCGGCGTAAAACCACACTCACTCACATGTAGGTGTACAATTCCTTTATCCGGCAGTCTATATTCACGTTTCTATACGTAATACCAGCACAACAAGAAGTAATTATAAATAACAATCGAAGTGAAGTACAGTAAACTACGGTTATAACGAACACGCTTATAACGAACTAACGGATATAACGAACTAACTTTTCAGTCCCGACTACTTGCTGTAGTTATTCTGTATATATGCTTATAACGAATTACGGTTATAACGAACTAAAATTAGTAGTCCCTTTGAGTTCGTTATAACCGTAGTTTACTGTACATTAAACTACGTATATAACGAACACGATTATAACGAACAGACTGATATACCGACCTTATTTTTTAGTCCCGACCATTTCTTGTATAAATGCTGTATATATGCCTATAACGAACTACGGTTATTACGAACTAAAATTAACGGCCCCTTCGAGTTCGTTATAAACGTAGTTTACTGTACGTGTAATGAAGGCTCTTTTGTGGCCGATACAATGTTGCAACAACTCCGTGCAAAGATCAATACTGAAAATCAATGACCTAGTCAAGAATCGCGCACAGATGTTTGAAGCATGATCGCTGTTCGTAGATGAGACCTCGCCTATACTGGTAAGACACGTTATATCACACTGCTTAAATAGTAACAATTATATAAATTATATATATGTGTGTGTGTAATCTGTAAACTTTATTATGTTATTTCTTCTCGAGAATTCGATTATTTAAACTTCGCCGATCATTCTTGCCGATAAACAGAACGTGTGTCTGATGACTTTTCTTTACTAAACATTCATTTACAGAAAGTGGTTAGAACCATGAGAATGATTATTGCGTGTACATTGATCCACTGACGGGGGCAATAATAGGGCTTTAAGCTTGCCCCTGTGTGGTGTGGAAATATGCGCTATATATAGTCTATTAATATTTAATTTATTAGAACCCTGATAACGAAAAACAGATGTATTTTGTATTTTCATATAAATGCTGCACCATAAATGTTCTGTTGTTAATCCAATGATGTTCATCTTTAAGATTTGTTTGTTTGTTTGTTTGTTTCTTTTTGCACTCACCAATATTCCATATTCTCTGAGCATATTGGCTTACGACCCGTGATAATCCGGGGTAGAATACGTCTTTAGCATGCTTCTGTAAAAGGCGACTGTGCTTGTCGTAAGCGGCGACCAACGGGATCGGGTTGTCAGGCTCACTGACTTGGTTGATTCATGTCATCGTATCCCAATTGCGTGGATCGATGCTTATGTTGGCAATCACCTCATTGTCTCGCCCAGACTCGATTATTTACAGGCCGTCGTCATATAGCTGGAGCATTCCTGAGTGCGGCGTTAAACAACAAACAAACAAACAAACAAAATCGAATTGGCTTACGATGTAGCCGAGTGAGTGAGTGAGGGAGTTGGGTTTAGCGCCGCTTTTAACAGTATTCCAGTTATATCACGGCGTGTCAGACGTTTACCACTTCGGTGAAACCCACGAACCCGGGTATGGTGCTGACAAACCTAGAAACATAATCGGGGCGAACCGGGATTCGAACCCACAATCTTATGTTTCTAGCGTGCCCAAGGGACGCAACTCTGCACAGCGAATCGCGGCGACTTAGACGACTGGGCCACCCGTGCCCCCACGATGTAGCTGTGTTAAACGCTTTCGTTGCCTGCCATTTTTGCGAGCAAAGTAGATTGATGTAAAAAACAATGTTCGATCATATATAGCATCACACATTGTTTTAAAACTAGTATCGGTGTTTCCTTAATTCAGAGCGCAGACACCTCAGAACTCTTGGCTGAAGGTATGCACTGATTATCACCAAGTTATGCATACTTTTTATTGACTTGCCTTTGCATGTGTTTGTGTCAGGTGCCACCAGTGGACCAGGCTATGTTCACCTGTTTTTGACGAACGCCTGATATCATCATTAATTAATAATGATTCATAAACACTTTCTTATGATATATAGTCGGAATCGTACAATGGACGCTGCTTCAAGCAGATATTTCTTATGATTAGTTTTGTCGTTTTCATTCCAGTAGTAATCTCGTTTCACAAAGCGACTTCAACTGTCTAACGGCCATTGTGAAGTATGTGTTAAAGTATAGGAGAAACGTCAGCAAGGTTTGCAGGGAAACGTCAGCTTTGTGACAGCACTTGCGTGGATCCTTTTAAAAGTAAGCACTCCTCCAATCTCATTAAAATCAGACCTCAGTTCTCGCTACCGCTAAACAAAGATCTGAGGACATCCCATTAGGGGTCACGTCAGAACAACCTTTCATCCGACCAATCAGAGCATCGCTTACCAGATTATGAAAGTGACAGTCGGAATGTGATTTCTAATCATGCAACCTCGAAAACTTTAACTCCGAACGATAGTTACGGGTTTAGCGACTGAATCCATACAATCTAGACTATCTATTAGCCATTCCAGAATGTTTTTCGTTCAGGTTTCATATTTGTAATCGAGAATTTGCCAAAATATGTTTCGAAGCGTAGTCGCCAATTTGAAATTAGTGCCGTTAAGCACGAGAAAGATCCTCAGATCTTTGTTTAGCGGTAGCGAGAACTGAGATCTGATTTTAATGAGATTGGCATTCCTCTTGATTACATGTATAGTCTTGTTACGTACTTCTTAATATTATTATAAGGGTAACGCTATTTAGCCCGAAGCCTTCCATTAACTGCCCGACGAAGGAGGGCAGTTGAAAAGACCGACGGCTTCTCCAAATGATAATGCCCTGAAAAATAGCGTTACCGTTATTATAGCTAAAATGGACGGAATTTTTTCAAATAAAAAGAACCAACAAATATCGGGTTTGTCACTGACCCACTTTTACAAATATGGAAACGTCATAGATCTCTAGAACAAACCAGATGTCATCACTATTGAACGTGACGTCACCGATCCTATCATATGACGTCGCCTAACACCGGGGGTGATAATGGCCCGTCGTCAAGCAAAATGAGGGCATTATCAAGTTACAGTTGCCCGCTCATTTCTGATAACATGCGGGTGGTTTAATGATAATTCTATCCATTTTAGCTATAAATAGGGATATTCGTTATTATTACGACAACATCCCCAAAGAACCAGCCAGGTATATCCGAGCTGAAGACCCGTGAAGATCCGGGTAGAGATTAGGCCTTAAGCAACCCATGCTTGCCGTAAGAAGCGACGATGCTTGTTGTAAGAGACGACAAAGAGATCGGGTGGTCAGGTTCGCTGACTTGATTGATGCATATCATCGTATCACAAATGCCTAGATCGATGCACATGATGTTAATGAGTGGATTATCTGGTCCAGATTCCAGATTATTTACATGCATTTCCAATTCTGCCATTTGATTTATTTTGTCAGCAGATCGGGATGTCCCGTATGAAATATAAGCTGTTTCGTATGCTTGGACTAGTGTTAATCTTCATAACGACCAGTGTTATATTCACTGGCTGGACGCATTACTCGGGAGAGAGTTTTTTAAGGTGAGATTTGTTTACGTTTACAGCATCAATATACAACAACCTCAACCCAGCATATTGCATCTAATGTGCAGTGACAGAGAAGAGAATTCTTCAAAATACATAGGTCAAGAATAGTTACTTGGCCTGCTGCATATTTCGTCAATAACAAACAAAAAACTACAAACAACAGCACAAATCAGTCACATCGTTCATCGCAATAATACAACACAACCCCCGCCCATTCTATTGTCAGCCAATCAGAAAATTTAAACGCAAAAAAACATTGCTTGGTTTACCCTAACAGGAACGGAACAGATATAGATATGTATTCATGGAAAAGACTTGGGCTTCTGCCCCTTTCCTAGCAGATACAACAAATTAAAAATACATATTGACACAGGAGGTAGAACACGATTTCATATTTACTGAAAACAGGATTTAATATATTTAGAAATGTATAACAGTTGTGTTTTGCAACTTGTTTGTGGCAGGCTAACTAGTTTCAATTCAGATGGCCTTTCCCAATAGTATTTATGTAATCCACTATATATTTTTGCTTTGTTATCTTTATATTTGGGACATATTAATAGAAAATGTTATTCATCTTCAAGTTCGTTAACACTTAGCTTGACAATAATCACAGTATCTAAGAGATTTGATAATGTTGTGGTATCGTCCAGCTTCTATTTTTATCTTGTGACTTGATATTCTAATCATTGGTACATATTTCCTTAGACCCGGTTGTAAAATATTGATGCATAGTTCATAACCAAAAGTTACTTTTAGATTTCTGTACAATATCAACTTTCTACTATTATTGAGATCTGAGTTCCATTTTTGTATATAATTATCAATAAGTCTTTGTTTAAACAAAGAGACAAATATCATAGGATTTACAGGCAAAGTATTTAACCACATATATGCAAAAGTTAAACTATTTGTACACAACATATCTTTTACATACCATACCCAATTTTTCTCGCCTTTATCACAATGCTGCAAACTAATTTTATATGCAGCCTGTGATATACAATTACAAGTATTATTTAATTTCAACAAGTACTTCAAAATTCTACAAAATATATTGATGTAAATAGGATACCGACCTAATTATCCATATACTGCAATATTACATGTATATACATGTACATTTAATACTTTCTTACAGAATTTAAGATGCACCCGTTCAATATCAGGTGCGTTTACCGTACCCCATACCTCTCACAACCATAGCACATTGTAGATGTAACGAAAGAATAAAATGATTTGAATAGTGTTAAAGGTGTTAAATTACAATGTCTAATATTTCATAACAATACATTCATAGCTTTTAAACCTTTCCCAGCTAATGTTTTGTAACACAAAGAAAATGATCCAGTACTTGTAAAGACGTTTCCGAAGTAACAAAACTGTTTCACCACTTCAAGCTGTTCATCATTTAAAAAACATTTTTCATTTTTATGTAAATTCCCTCTTTTACTTAATACCATTACCTTCGTTTTATCGACGCTTATGTGTAAACCCAAATCTTTACAGTAAGTTTGCAAGCTATTTATTAACATGTGGAGCCCATTTGGTGTTTAAGATAACCATATCATCAGCATATAATATCATAAATAGGTTAACAAAATCAATCAACAATCCTGCATCTATATTTTCTTGACGTTTGAGCTCAAGGTCTTCTGAGAAAAGAGTACAGGCGACATCCTCTCCCCTTGTTTAATTCCAGCACCAATATAAAGCTAATCGGGCACAGTGGAGTTAAACTTAACGGATGCCTTAAAGTTTACATTTGTGTACATTAAATATAATTGTTACGGTTCTTAATTGAGAAGATTATGTCAGCATATGCTAAATGATTGTCTGTACAGAAATCATATCAATGTCGTTGAAATTATGACACATTTTGCATGGCATATTTCGAAATTCCAAAAATTGTATAAATTTATTCCAAATTAAATAAGCAACCCTAAAAGCCCCCCCCCCCCCCCCCCCCCCTAGGTTGCCTCACCTTTTCGGACATACCCTTTTCGAACAAACACTAAATGGCCTGGCGGGCCCTTGCGCGAAATTCGCATATGTCAGAAAGTGCACGTTAAATTCCCATTTAAGTAAGAAAGTAGGTATGACACATTCACTGTATATGTTCTCTTTTCGGGCTTCTCCAGGACACAAACAAGTGGAGGCTATAAGCCGTGTAGGAAACTCATGACGAGTCAAGGGAGTATGGCGTTCGTGGAGGAACTTCTCCACGATAATGTAACCTACGACCTCGGACTTCTGCCTTCATGGTCCGCCTCAAGGATATATCTGGATAAGAACGGCTCTATCCATCTGGGAGATGTGTTTACCGTCACAGTCCGCCTGTATGACGGTTACAACAGGCCAATGTACCGTGGAGGTGACATGCTGGCAATAATGATGCAGAACTATAGCTATGGAGCTGGTTCAGTTGGTCACGTGGTCGACCACCACAACGGAAGCTATACCGGCATCCTCCGCGCCTTGTGGACCGGAAGTGTGGCTATATCTGTGCGGATACTCTACCCTCGTGAAGCTCTTTCGACGTATCTGAAGCACATGGGTCCATATAGTCCCGGAAAAACCATTATGTGTGTCTTCCAGAATGACAACGCAAGAAGCGAGACGTTTGGGTATCCTTCTGTGGAGCCCTTTAGGGGGATACCTTTCTGTAATATGACGTCGGAGAACTACGGACTTGCTTGGTACTGCGTCAAGCCGAACAATCCTTTAGTTTGCCACGATTGGGTACAATTCACCAGCCAACCAAACAACGACACCCAATGGACGAATAAGAAAATAAAGGATTTCTATTTGATGTAAGTTGTTTCTGTGATGTGGTATACATCGCTGTTGTCTGGTTGATATGTGGTTTGTATATGACACAGTGTCATTAAGTGTACAGTGTTACACCACAGACAATATTAAGCGTCAGTATTTTCTAAAAGATGAATGGATTTCTGTGTGTATGGGAAATGTGTTTTCGTGTTGTCCTGATCCGCTGATGGGTTTAGAACCAGCACGCCAGAACCTCAAGGGTATTAACACATTGAATCTGGACCTGGGGCCCGTTCCTAAAAAATCATTTTTGCGCTACGACTGACGTAAGTCTATGTTAAAGTATTGGAGTTACGATCGTCTTAGTGCTTTGTGGAACGGGGCCCTGGACCTGCCGATAATGTCAAAACCACCAGTTACAGCTTTATCAGAGCTCACTTGAACTCACACCAATCAGTTATCGTGGCCATCCCTAGTCTAGGCGCATCTTGCTTTTAAGAAGGACAATGGACTGATATTATAATAATCTATCGTGATCATACGTAGTATCTTCTATGCACCTTGCTGTACGACATATCAGCAGTTATCGTGGCCATCCCTTAAACACATCTTGCTGCGACCAGTGACGATCCGGGGTGGAATAGGTTTTCAGCTTATATCGAGTACCGTACCTTGTAGTGCATGTGTGATGCACGGGTAGCCCAGTTGTACAGAGTTGAGTCCCTTTGGGCACTCCAAAAACATATCCTGTGTTGGAATCCCGGTTCGCCCTGATTTTGTTCCTAGGCTTGCCAGTACCATACCAGTGCTTGTGGGTTTCAGCAAACCAGTAAACGTCTAAGAATTCCGTTACTTCGGGCTTTCCTCCCACATGAAGCTGACATGGTGATATAACTGGAATACTGTTAAACCTAACTCACTCACTGCAATTCAGGGGTGGTCGGGTAGCCTAGTGGTTAAAGCGTACGCTCGTCAAGCTGAAGACCCGGGTTCGATTCCCGACATGGGTAGAATGTGTGAAGCCCATTTCTGGTGTACCCCGCCATAATATTGCTGGTATATTGCTAAAAGCGGCGTAAAACAATACTCACTGACTCACATACTCACTGAAGTTCATGACTTGTTCTGGATATATCTTTTTATAATTTCAGGGCCAAGAGGGCGCGGAGAATTCGAGATACAATATCTGTAATAATTTTAGGACGTCCGGGTAAGACATTCATTACCTGTTACCTGAAATGTATACAATGGTGAAATCATGAGAATCTTTTGATTCCGGCACCTGTTGATTCTACTTCCGGAATCGACCTGTGAAGATCCGGGGTAGAATAGGTCTTCAGCAACCCACGCTTGCTGTAAAAAGCGACTCTGCTTGATATTTCTTAAGATTAGTTTTGTCGTTTTCATTCCAGTGGTAATCTCTTTTCACAAAGCGACTTCAGCTGTGCAGCGGCTATTGTGAAATCTGTGTTAAAGTATGGGAGAAACGTTCAGTATTATCAATATCCCTGAAGTTCAAGGGTGCAGAGAAACGTCAGCTTTGTGACAGCAGAGGCGGGGATATTTTTTAAAGTAAGCACTTCTCTTGATTACATGTACGGCCTTGTTATATACTACCAAACATTTGATAAGGATAATCAGCCCAAATCGCATCCTATTGGTACGACAACATCCCAAAACAACCAGACAGGTGTATCCAAGCTGGAGACCCGTTAAGATACGGGGTAGAATAGGTCTTCAGCAGCCCATGCTTGCCGTAAGAAGCGACGATGCTTGTTGTAAGAGGCGACTGACGGGATCGGTTGGTAAGGCTCGCTGTCTCGATTGATGCATGTCGTCGATCCCAATTGCCTAGATCGATGCTTATGATGTCAATCACTTGATTGTCTGGTCCAGACTCGAATATTTACAGACCGCCGTCATATATCTAAACAACAAACAAACAAACAAACAAACAAACAATCAAACACACTTCCGGAATCAATAGATTTGAGTGATTTCTCCGATTTGAACCATATACGTACTTTCTCTATAATTTTCCATCATGGCCCATAGCTGCTTCGGATATATTTGTTTAATTCTTTTGAATTCATGTTTAGGAAGCAACTGCAACAACAATGGCGTGACTTGATATTGCTGGAATATTGCTAAAACCGGTGTAAAACCTTAATACTCACTCACTTAAACATTTGGTTCTTTTGGACCTGGCCATTAGCACAGGTGCAATATATATCAACTCAATGTAACAATGTGCAATGTGTTATCATATATTATTTTGTTTGTTTGTTTTATATTTTTAGTGGGTTTTTTTTGGTTTTTTGTTTTATTTTATTGGGTTTGTTTTGTTGTTTTTTTTTGGGGGGGGGGGGGGTTTGGGGGGGGAACTACTTTGTTGTTTCAAGCGCAAAACTTACCTCTCACTGTGATAACATTAAAAGCTCACCGGTGTTTAAGTAGACTGTAAATTTATTTATTCATTCATTCATTCATTCATCGCGTGATGTATTGCTGTGTACATTCATACACACATACATATACAAACACATTGCACACACACACACACACACACACACACACACACACACACACACACACACACACACACACACACACACACACACACACATTACACACACATACATATATACATACATACATTAGATTCACACTCCTCTCTTGCTTGACAGGAACCACAATGGCGACTGCAGCAGAGACACTGTGTACTTCACCAGACATCTCGGAGACGTGGACCCAGCCCTACACTTCCGGCTTCTTCTACAGGAGGGAGTGGTACAGCATGGCCTGCTCGGTGAAGATTGATGAACACTCATTACGGAAGTGTCTTTCCAACCGACGCCTTCACATCCTCGGGGATTCCACCGTCCGTCAGTTCTTCTCCAATCTCTACGAGAGACTGAACATGACAATGGTCACGGAGAAATGGACAGTCAGAACATGGCACCGATACACCGAGAGTCAGAACAGGGACATGAAGTTCACTATGAGCTGGGCCCCTCATGAACTGCCCTTATATTACAATGGCAACCGAGCATCCGCAAGACCCTTGTATGTGAACATCGATGATATACCCAGTGGCTCAAATGATATAGTTATCATACATATATATGTGCACTTCCGGTTTCACCATCCGAGCGTGTTCAGGGAGAGTATTCGGCGCGCTGCTCAAGCCACCAGGAGGCTGATGCGGCGGTCTCCAAGGGCTGTAGTGGGAATCAAGGGAACTCACTACTTCCGCTTCTCCAAAGACGAGATCGACGCTGGGTTTGGTCTGGTGTATGATGCTATAATAAGGGAAGAGTTCAGTGATATGTTCTCCAGAGTGATTTTGATAAATGAGTGGGACCTCATCTTGGCCTCTGACATTCTGGTGCTACATCCACCAGCATGGTTGGTTAAGCTCCTCGTGGACAGCTTTCTGGGCTATGCGTGTTCTTTATAGACAATGGGTGGTTGGGAAGCCTAGTGGTTAATCGTTCGCTCGTCACGCTGGTTCGATTCCCGACATGGGTGCAATGTGTGAAGCCCATTTGTGGTGTCCCCCGCCATGATATTGCTGGAATATTACTAAAAGCGTAAAACCATACTAACTCACCCTTGATAGACGGACAAATGTAGTTAATATTTTCAAGATTATATTCACGTCTTTTATCGCACACAAGAACGGCCAAGATAGACGGAGATAAACTTTCAAACTGTTGTGACATATTTTTTCTGTGGCTGGCGTGAAATCCCTGGTCGTCAACGGAAGTATTAAGCTGTGATAAACTGTCATACCTGACTATAATATGTTGTAAGTGTTTTTCTACCATGGTACTGAAGAATGTTTTGTTCTGATTGGTCAAAATAAACATTAAACCAGATATCCACTTTTGTTAGGTACCTCAATATTAACAAGCATTTTTACACAAAACGTGGGCGTTAATACTACGATCTTTTGACAAACCGCAACAACGGTTGCCGATCAGAAGTATATAGTTCGATCAATTGTAGTTAAGTAAGCCTCGGTATTCAAAGGAGACTTGTATGTGGAGTAAGATGGTAGCTTCGGGTTACAGGTAACAGATGTTACCCGCTCTTGCATATCGACATCCATTATACGTTGTTTGAATTCCGATAAGAATACGCCTTTATCCCCAACATCTTGCATTACCCATGTGTAACCGAATTCTTATTCAAATAAAATATCCTTTACGTGAGTGATGCTAGATACACTGTCAAGTCCAAATAAGATAATATAAGTTTGCTTAGGAAGTCTGTTATCATTCATTAAGCTTTGTGACAAAAGTGGTGTAACCTTCATATACCTTGCTATTCAAGGCCTACTGGTGAGGCCGTTAGGCATTCTGCATAGCCGTTGGTAGCATGAGGTCATTTCTAGTCCATTACTAGTTGTTTGATACCAGTTAACTTCCTGTACTTCATACTTTAGTAGGGATCACAGGTGGCCAGTCGTCTAAGGCGCCACGATTCGCTGTGCAGAGTTGCGTCCCCTGGGCACGCCAGAAACCTATGATTGTGGATTCGAATCCCGGTTCGCCCCGATTATGTTTCTAGGTTTGTCAGCACCATGCCCGTGCTCGTGGGTTTCACCGAAGTGGTAAACGTCTAAGACCTGCATCACTTCGGGCTTTCCTCCCACATTAAGCTGACACGCCGTGATATAACTGGAATAATGTTAAAAGCGGCGTTAAACCCAACTCACTCACTCATACTATGTTAAACAACATTTTTTGTGAAGATGTACTGAAACTTATTTAATAAATACATCTATTGTTTGAGTCAGCGTTCGCCTACGTCTCATTCTCTCCTTATCTTATCCGCACAGTAACACATATATATTAGTTCGGATTTTGTAGAAGTTTTTTGCATAGATGCATGAGAATCTACATGTACAAGTACATGTACACAACCCAATGGAAACTCTGTCCGGACCATAACTTATATTGAATTTCATAATCTTTACTTTGATGTAATCTTGAACATAGACACTTTTTAACATGATGGTGTTAAAGATAAAACATTTTCTTAAACAAAACAAACAAAACATTGTCTCATATTTTGACAAAATCTGTTAAATATGAAAGCAAACTGTGTGAAAGTGACAGAAACTAAAACAATCTTTCTGGAGCATCTGGTTCCTCAGCAGTATTCAATATGAGGACAAGTATAGATGTACAAGAACGTGTGTCCTGCAAACCTGACAAGACATGGATGAGTATGTCTTGGAGCAGAATACTATTAAAATTAAATGTCAAAATTAATCTGTCTGTTATAAATACTTACTCCATAGCATTTACCTAAAGTCTTTTTTCATATTCCATAATTCATTACTTGATAAAATGATAATTAATGAAATTATTCCATGATTATTGGACATGTTTTCAGTGTACAATCACTGCATTACGATCTCTAAGTATTGCTTTTGGTTTCAGATGTTGGTGGCCCGGCGTGAAGGAAGATGTGGAGAAACATGTATCCACACGTGACAGATGCCAGAGATCCGGTACGAAATTTCAGAAATCATCACTTGAACTCAATTCAATCCCCGTTCGAGCGAATCCTTGGAAACAAGTCAGCGTAGATCTCTGCTCTCTGCCAACTACTGATGAAGGATTCCGCCGCATTGTTGTCTTAGTCGACTATTTTACCAAGTGGATAGAAGCTAAGCCCCTGAAAGACAAAACTGCTGCAAGTGTTGCAACCATCCTGTATGAAACTATCTGCCGCCATGGAATACCAAGTATCCAGATCAACGATCAAGGTCGTGAATTTGTGAACCAAGTTTCAAATGAACTGCACAGACAGTGCAACGAAGTACCAGTTCCTATCATCCCCAGGCCAATGGACTCGTTGAGTGAAACAATCAGACAATTCAACGATCTTTGTTGAAGACACTTGAATGGCGTCAAGAAGAATGGTCACAAACGCTACCTGGAGTTCTGTTTGCCTTTAATACCAGCCGATAGAGGTCGACGGGATTCAGTGCGTTTTCTTCTGATGTATGGGAGGGACGCTGTTCTTCCTGTAGACTTGGATAGTGAACCTGTTGAAGAGGAGGTGATGGATAGTCCTGTAGACTTGGATAGTGAATCACTGGAAGCCACACTATCCTCGTTTGCCAGTCAGCAGGATGTTGTGTATCCCAAATCCAGCAGCAACGTAAGAGCTGCACAAGAGCGCCAGAAAAGAGACTACAACGCAAGACATTCTTCAAAGGAGATCTTCACCGAAGGGTGATCAAGTGTCAGTGTGGAACACTCGTCCTGCATATAGGAAGGGAGGCAAACATGTTGATGCATGGAATTGGCCATTCATCATTAACCGAAGCATTGGCAAAAGACTCTATGAGCTGAAGATCCCCAAGACGTCCACTGTTCTAAAATCTAAGATGAACGGATGCAACCTTAAGCTGTACAGAGAGGGATGCAAGATGATATCCAGCCATCCTCAACTGCAGATAGCAGCACCTTGGAAAGAAACTTGGCCTTCCAACATCAAGAGTTGCGACATCACAGAGAACTCCAGGTCTGATTCTTAGCGAACCTACACAAGTTGATATCCTCAAAGGTGATGACAACTGCCTGTATCCAAAGAAGTGACAGGAACTGAAAGATACCACACAAACATAAGACATCATGTTGTAGATCTCCTAGAAGATGATAGGTACAAAAGCCTTTTTGAAAACTACTCTGGCCATCAAGACATGAACCTCTACGTGGTTGAAAGTGAAATGCAGATTAACTCCGAAATAACCGATATTATAGTTGCTGTTGCGTCGCTTTTGAGCACACGAAGTGTCATAAAAAATAAGACCTTAAACATTTTCATGTACTTGATGTTGTGCTATATACACATCTAAACAATTGACGAATACAAACATACAGAAAACAAATTTATTTGCTTCGTGCTGTGCACATGTATGCTGAATCCCAAATGTTTACAATGGTACCGGCACTTCAATAAATTTGTTGTACTTTTTTTATGGGACATTAAATATTAATGTGTACCTGATGTTTTGTTATTATTATCATTTATATTTGTGAAGTATTTCGAAATAAAGGGTGAAGTAAGCAGCGAGAGTAATATGAGCCTAATACTTAAAAATAGGATGTATGATACGGGGAGTAGTCTAAGCCTGATACACAAGAATCGGATAAAGAACAGGGGAAGTAGTTTGAGCCTGATACTCAAGAATCGGATATAGAACAGGGGAAAAAGTTTGAGCCTGATACTCAAGAATCGGATATAGAACAGGGGGAAAAGTTTGAGCCTGATACTCAAGAATCGGATATAGAACAGGGGGAAAAGTTTGAGCCTAATACTCAAGAATCGGATATAGAACAGGGGGAAAAGTTTGAGCCTGATACTCAAGAATCGGATATAGAACAGGGGGAAAAGTTTGAGCCTGATACTCAAGAATCGGATATAGAATAGGGGGAGAAGTTTGAGTCTGATACTCAAGAATCGGATATAGAACAGGGGAAAAAGTTTGAGCTCCATACTCAACAGTTGTATATAGAATAGGGGGAGTAGTTTGAGCCTGATACTCAAGAATGGGATATAGAATAGGGGGAAAAGTTTGAGACTGATATTAAAGAATCGGAGATAGCTTGATCATGAGACGAAAGAATTGGGTCAATGCGTTCAACATGTACATGCATTTCATACACGGTATATTGACGCTGCCTCAGCTTGCAAACAAGAATTCTCAGAGATTGCTGTTTCCGCATAATTTTGTAAACTAAGCGGCAAAAGAAAGTATAGGTTGGCAATTGTAATTTTCCTAAAAACAGCGATAACTAGTGGAAAGTGGGTATTGGGAATATGACTGCCCAGGAACAGGTACCAAAAAACACCTCACCCGAACGCGCCACCTTTGACGGCGCTCGTGCGGTGACAAAAAAAATGGTGAAACAGGTTTCCCGCCTATGGCATAAACTGCACGTGCATGTTATCTGTATATATGCGTTCGTCTGCAGGGTATAACCACACGTGATGAAAGCATACAAAAGAAATGCCACGACTGTCACAGGAGCAGAGAGAGGGAGCCATCGGTATGGCCGAAATTGGGGCAACACAGGTCCAAATTGCCAGAAGGTTTGGTTGTACACCATTGACAGTAGCCAGGCTGATTCAACGGTACAGGCAGGCGGGGAGGACACAGGCCAGGCATAGAACCGGACGACCCCGAGTGACAACACCACTGGAATGACGGCAGAGAACAAGTTTATCGACACAGAGGGGAACGTTTGGCTCTGGCGTGTATTCGAGAGGTCCATCCATTCGGCGGGGGAGGTGGCATGGTGTGGGGCGATATTTGTGGAGATCAGACGACTGATTTGGTGATTATACAGGGAAACCTGAACGCTGTGCAGTACAGAGACCAAGTGTTGCAACCAGTTGTGCTTCCGTTCTTACAAAACCAACAGCAGGGGACATTGTTTCAACACGACAATGCCAGGCCCCATACTGCAAGACTGACTCGGAATTTTCTAAACCAGCAGAACGTTGACGTTTTGCCCTGGCCTGTCCACTCACCCGATATGAATCCAATTGAACATCTGTGGGACCATCTTGACAGACAGATTAGAGCACGCCATTAGCCTCCCGTCAACAGACAAGAATTGCAGCAGGCCCTGAGAGACGAAATGGCAACGGATTCCAGTCCACGTCATCAGAAGACTGACGTCATCGATGAGGCGACGTATCACAGCATGCATTGGGGCAGCTGGAGGTCATACACGCTATTGAAGGCAACTGTGTCGACAATGAACTTGTAGTGTGTCTGACAATTTTTTGGTGACATTTCAGACAACTTTTGAAAATGAAATTTCTTTACCCTACCATAGTTTACCTTGAGCTTACATTACCTGTGATTGCACAATTTCATTCAAACTGTGGTTGATCAATCATTTGCTACCCCTCCCTAGAGTTTATTATTATTCACACAAAACCTCTTCTTGTTATTTTTTTTATCGATCATCGAACTCGACCTATACTTTCTTTTGCCGCCCAGTTTATATTGATCTGAAGCAACAACTGTTTGCGAACAACTGCGTCATCGCTGATTTTCCTTAATATATTTTTACCGCTATTGTTAACGGTTACGCCAAATGGAATCTGTTTCGTTGGAAATAACAAAATTGGTTATAAAATGTTTCATATTTCTATGTTGTTTACGACATGAGTTATGGTTGATAACAACATCTGGAGTTACATAAAACCAAACACGAACACGCTTATAACGAACTGACCGATATAACGAGCTTATTTCTTAGTCCAAGCCATTTGTTGTATATTTGCTGTATACATGCTTATAACGAACTACGGTAATTACGAACTTAAATTCCCTCGAGTTCGTTACAACCGTAGTTTACTGTAATATGCATGTGTATGCCTGTTATGACTAGGTTTTCTTTGATATATGTATTTGATATTGACCGGGACACACATTTCAGCAAGAAGTAAGCTAAATTGTTTTAAATAATATTTAATTCAGGAAACAATAGTTAGAAATGGTTACCCGAACAGACT